CTCCCATAACTCGGGTTCCCTCCACATTGCAATTCGAATACCGCTCCATTCCAATCCGATCGGGTCCTATTGTCTACAGTCGCATTACTTCACACTCGTGTCAAATAGGTACTATTTGGCTAATTATCTCTGATAGATTATTAATGCATTTTCTTTCAAAATTAAATATCTATTTTCTCATAGACATAATTAAATGAAAATATAACAATAATATCCTCTGTAAAAAATTTAGGACTATTTATTGATCAAACCCTCTCCTGGAATCACCATATTTCTCACATCTAACGACGGACAATTTCTACCCTCAAACTATTCCATCCCTTCCGCCATCTCCTACCTCAACATAAGCGTAGACTCCTTGTTTCCTCTCTAATCTTCCCCCACTTTGACTATAGCTGTGTGTATGATGGACTCTCGGTGGAGCTGCGTGACAGACTGAAAAGATTAATGAACAGTTGCGTGAGATTTGTAATTGGTGCCCCGAGATACTACCATGTCTCTCACCACTACACTGAGTTAGAGTGGCTCTTCCCCTCCATTCGAAGACAATATTTCCTAGGTACATTCCTCTATCATATCATCAACAATCATCGTCCTTCCTACGCCTACAATCTTCTCCAATTCAAGTCCTCAGTCCACTTCCTCTCCACAAGATCTCGACCTTCCGACCTTTACATTCCTTCTCACAGATCTACCTCGTTCCAAAACTCCTTTATTGCTCGCTCTGTTAATTTTTGGAATTCCCTTCCTATCATAATCCGACATTCTTTATCCCTATCTATACTCAAAACCCTCCTATTCCAATTCCTGTTCCAAAAACCAGATACCTGTCAGATACCAGCTAACCTTTTATGTAAAATTACATATTTTTTTATTTTTTTTAGATTTATATATATATTTTTTATATCGTCCCAGAATAAAATTATTTTCTATTCTATTCTAATAAAGATATTATTGAGCGAGAATCCTGAGATTGGAGTAGAGAGAAATAATTAAACCAAAAATTCAGTAGTGTGATTAATACCAACAAATACAACATTTAAAAGGTGCACAACAACATATAATTAGAATAATAATCTTATATGTAAGTTGTTTATTATGTTTGAGTAAATTTATATTGAATCGTTGGTAAAGAACTCTTATATGTAGATCAAATGTTAAAATGTGAAAGTTAGTATCTAGGATTGGTCTAATTACATACTAATGTCGTAAATATTATTTAAAAAATAAAACGACAATAATAAAAAAAACTATATAAATGTCACTAAACAAATAATTTTGTTAACACACTTTCGTTTTTTTTTTGTTTTTTTTTATAAATAATATGTGAGAAGCCCTATTGTTTCCAAAATTATTTGTTTTTGTTCTTCCTCCAAAAGTTTTTTATACATCACATGTACAACATGAAGAGAAACTACCCATAGGTAGCACTCCAATTATATTTCTATATTACAAGGTCCCAAGGCCATTTTATTTTCAGACGCCTCGAAGGGTTATCAGGGATAGAAGAGGAAGCAAGGTTGGAAACAAGAGGGTTCGGATCTTTCAGAAGTTTATATCTGGATTGGGCCAAATCGGAAACATATGGTACATTACGGTCGTTATGGATGATTTTATTTGTGACAGAGTAGGGAGCATTGAGGATTTTACGAAGGATTTTGTATTGTAGGGATTGGATACGAGAGGAACCAGAGGAAGCATGGTTTAGTGGAACCCCAAAGCTCGATCACGTAAGTCCAAATATGCCTTATTATAGTAATATATATGAGTCCTTTGTAAATAGTTGGAAGTTTAGAGCGTTTTTCTAGTAAGTGCTGGAGTATTCGAAAACATTGGGTGGTTTCTAATCGTTTTAGGCTGAGATGGGGGTTCCAAGTGAGTCGTTTGTCCAGGTGGAGTCCAAGGTATTAGATTTGTCTAGCAGGGATAAGTGGGCTATTGTAGAAGAATACTGTAGGACAGGAAGACATAGGTTTACGACGAAGAGTAAAGGTAATTTGATGGGATTATTAGAATTTATTTTAATCCTCCAGTTTTGACACCATTTTCCAAGACTTGTGATGTGTGATTGAAGAGTTTGGGATGCAATAGATGGATCGTTATTAACTGATAGGATACACGTGTCATCGGCATATGTTGTAATGACAGTGTTGGATTGGGTTGGAATGTCAGCTGTATAAACTGTGTAAAGGATATGACCTAGGATACTACTTTGCTCCAAAAGTAAATTTGTATTTGAATTTCATTTCAAAAAGCGAATTTTCATATTTCGACAACTAAAATCTAATGAATATTTTGATCTTCACAACGGAGGGTTAGAAAAAAAAAATAATCCTCTTAAATTACAAGGAAATTGTTAAGCTATTTATAGAATATTTTCCAATATTGTGTTTCTACAAAAAAAATAATAATAAAAAAATAATCGGATTGCAAATGTAATGGAATATAAATCGTATTTCTTCCCTCTGTCTGTTTAACGAGGAGATCTTCAACAGAACACAATCGAAAAATAAAGACTTAAGATTTAAAAAACGTAAAGAGAAGAAATACAATTCGTTAAATTTATGACAGCCAGAAGGTAAGTAAGCACGTGCCGCCAAGGACATAATCAATAGAAAATATCAGAGAAGACATTATGAAAAATGTAACAAAATATAAATAATAAAATACTGTCACAATAGTTTTAAGTTGCATTCACAAAATTTTTAAAGTTAAATTAGCTTATAGAAAGTTCTAATAATGTAAAAAAAGTAAGATGAAGAATTTCCTAAAGTTTAGATATAGTAGAGCAACGTTTAAATATTCTCAAAAAAACTTTCGAAAGTTTTTTTCCGTATTCATCATCGGTATTTATTATTCATTTTAGAGATGTATAACATTAAAATTCATACAAATGATGTGATTCGATTAGAAAATACTTTACAGTAAATATTTACTTCGAGAAAAAAATATAACTAACCATTATTTAAATGCTAAAAAATAAACTTGACGAAAACGAAACGTTTCCATGGAAACTAAATGAATTTTCCAAATTAAATGGAACTTTTATAATTATTTTTAAGCTTAAAAAACTAAAACCATAACATTCTTTATATATATAATTATATCAAAATGCATCGAATTGCCAACTGAAATTGTGTAAAAAATATTTTTTAGCACTTTTATTGATTCGAAGAAGAGTATAGTTGAAATATTTGATATATGAGATTGAAATAAATTAACTGAATAAAAATATTTCGTGCATTTAAGGGCCACAAATATTCGAGTTATAAGTGTTCATCCATACAATATATACGTATAAAAGAAATATGAATTATTAAAATAAAGAATAAATGAAATATATAATATTTCAAAATATAATAAATACATACAATAGTACACATATTTTTAAAATAATCATTGTTATTATGAATCAATAATTTTTTTTAAAATTACTATTCGTTATTATTATTATTATTTTTAATATAATTTGTTTGTTTGTTTTGATGTCTAGGCGCAAAACATCTAGGTCATCAGCGCCCAATCAACTAAATAACACTACTTTTATACTGTTTGGATTGCTGGTACAAAAAATAAGAATAAAAAAAAAGGATAAAAATAACTAAATAAAAGGATTGATAGAGTAAAATAAATAAATAAAAATAACAATAGACACTTATAGATAATAAGATATAATAGATAAATAAATAAACTTTAAAATATAGAAATAAAATCAATAAATGAATTGAAATTAATAACCAAATGAACATTTAATAAAAAATAAAATGAAATAAATAAAAAATGAAGTAAAAAATAATAATAAATCATAATTTATAAACTTGGCATATATGTCGTTTAAGTCTTTCGTTATCTAGAAACTTGATAAGCTTGGTAATGATTTCTTCTTGGTTTCCCAGGGATGCTGATATATTCTGGAGCACTCCGAGATCTTTTAACCTTGCGGTGTAAAACGGACACACTTCTAAATACGTTTTATGGTTAATGATTGGTCACACTTTTGACATCTGGGGATAAGATCTTTTGTTATGAGGTGGAGGTCTAGTATGTCCGATTCTCAGCTGCGTAAGGACGACCTCTTCTCTATTGTTAATTTAATTTAATTGTATTTGTTTATTTTGTTTTTGTTTAAATATTTATATTATTTCCTTTTTGTATGCAGGGGCGCCCATTCATTCCCCCAAGATCGATAGCGCACTAATTTTTCTCTTACTCTCAATATATGCGTTCCTCTTTATAAAACAATGTCAGCGAAAGTAGAATTAGAAAAACCGAAGATCATATACACGTTGGTCTAGTTCATGTTTTCCCCTTTTTTCCTGGATTGAAACTTTTTCACTCCGAAAAATCATAATCCTGTCGATATGTGGCCCCTCAAAAATTCGAAATCCAGTGAAAATGTACCTACTCAAATATTTTAATGGCGCAGCTTGAATGAAACCCCCTTCTTGGCAAATGTTTGTATATTCATATATCTACTTAAATTCTTGTTTTCCTTAAATATGATAGATTGTATTTTTATTCAATAAACTTCTTGCAATCTGAATTACCAAATGCTTCCGTCACGTAAACAGCTCTTCAAATTCACAAAAGTACCATAAAATTATTTTTTAAAAATGGCCTTTGATTACTTTTATTTTATAAATTTAGCCCCGATGATATAATGGTTAAATCACAATTCATAGTAGAAATTCAATTGTTTAATCAAATAAGAAAAAGTCTCGTTATACAAAGCGCACCAGATTTTCAAAATAAAAAAAATATATACGTCTTTATAGTGAATTGGATAAATTCCAAAGGCCCATTTCCACACCCTTCACATCCAATATGAGTAACGTATGATACTCCAGGTAAACACGATAACAATGTTACGAGTTATTCGATGGAAGCACGTATTGTGTGGGTATGAAGAATAGCATAGGGATATGGGGAAGATAAACCACAGGTAGGTCGAAGATTGTCGGAAGGGGAGGGGAATTCTGCGCATTTCATTCCTTGTCCAGCAGGGCGGAAGGGTTCATTTAGATGGCGAGGCATACTGTAGAGTATGTTGGCCGATGTTCGGGGTCGCTATTCCAGCAATGTCCAGGATTGAACATTTCCATGATCGCGCATCAGTCACCGATGTCAGGAAATGGGCCATCAAGGCTGGAACATAGTACGGAGAGGAATTTGCAATAATTAAGCGAACAGAGGAAGATATATATCTTTATATGTTAATAGAGTTCCAAAGACAATAGGATCGTTGTCATAGTGAGCTATTCCATTACCAAACTTTGCAACATATCGAAAACCGACTATTTAATTTGTACTGCATTCAGAAAATGTCCTTGATAACTTTCTAAAAGAGCCACACACATAATCCGGGTTTTCATACATTAATTTTTAAAATATCTAATTGTAAAAAAGATCATTTTATTTTATTTTTAGAACATTTTGTTTATATTTTATTATTACAATTTTTTCTTTCCTTATTATGATATGATTCAGTAAATATAGTGTGAATGTGTTCTCCGAATTCTGAAGTGTCCTTAATTGAGACAAATGTAATGTTTATCCATAAACAAGTGAACAAAAAAAAAAAAAAAAAAAAAAAAAAAAAAATATATATATATATATATATATATATATATATATATATATATATATATATATATATATATTATAGGGACTGACATATGCGATTATGCAGTGATAAAGATAAATAAAAAAACTTCATTTTAAGTATTGAAATAATTTAGGTTGACATCTATTTCACAAAATATTTATTTATTCAACATTTTCATGGGAAACGTTTCGGCAGTTAAGATTATTATTGCCCAAAATAGGCCTTGTATGTTATCTAAGACCAAGCAAAGTGCATGTTAACTAAGACCAAGGCTGCCTAACTGTTGCAAGACCAAGACCAGAGATGGTAAAAAAAAAATCGATTTTTTAAATAAAAATTAAGGCAAAATAGTTACTAATACTTGAAAATCTTAGTTACTATATATTAATAATTGCTATAACCAATATACTTTTGCAATTGAACTCCTCTAATTTTTCATTTGGGCTTAGTTAGGTTTCTTCTATCTAAAAAAAATACAGTAATATTTCTATAGTAATAAAATAATAAGTAACTGCAAGACTGTTATGAGACTCTTGCGCAAGACCAACACTGACTTTGCAAGACCAAAACTCGTCTGGGTCTCGCATTTGGGCAACACTTAATAAAAAATTACTATATTAAAATTATAATTAAATAGCGATGCTAATCCCATATGGGATTAAGTGCAGTTGTCTAAAAAGTAACATATTACATAATTTAACAACTTACATAAGTTAATATTTAACAACTTACTGACGCATTAAAATTATATTAAAAATATTTACAAATCGAGTAGTCCTTAATAATCATTTGTCATTTATTTTATATCCAGTCTAAATAATGACACTCAATATTTTATTTGACCTCTCAGGGCCGCATAACTAGATTAAGTATATATAATTAATGACTATCATCGCTATCTAATTAAAATTAAAACATGTGAAATAAAAATTTGTATTAACTCTTTTACATCCAACTTAAATACAAAGCTTTCTTAACTTTTCTCATGAAAAATTAAAAAATATACATATAACAATAAAAAAATAAAATAGCTGATTATAAAATATTCAATTTTTTATACGTAAGGTTGACATTGAAAAGAGAATATCGTGGGTATATTGCATAAGGACTTTTATAACGTTCATAATTTTAAAATTAAATTAAAAACATGTTTATTGTATAACCATTGAGCAATGACTAATTCATCATTATTACTTTTTTTTAATTATTTAAATACAGCCCAGAACTAAGACAAGCAGGAACTATACTTGTGAAAGCATTTAGTGAAAATTATTCCTAAAATCTGTAAAAAAAAAAAAAAAGTGTTCTTTTCGGAATTACACCATACCCTTCAGAGTTCAATACGAAACGATTCTATTAAATATTGCAATGTAAATGAACCCTTCTTTTCCTGAGGAAATCGATGCCTCCCCACCTCCTATTATTTACCGGCGACTTAAGGAACTCTTCAGGGGTCTCCTATTAATAATTCCACCTTTGGAAGTTTGTTGAAAGTTTCCCATTTCAGATAAAATCAGAATCGTTATTAGACGTAACTTTTCATCTCATTATGTTCCCAAAGTTATCGGATTAAATTAACTGGCAAGTTGTTGACAAAACGGTTAGTTTCCTCAATTTAATATTCGATGAACAGAATAACTCTTAACACTGTAATTTTTATTATAAACAAGATAAAACCCAAAAATCAAACCTTTCTTTTCTAAAGTATCGATAAATAATTAATTATAACAATAATAATAATAATATTTTTAGCAATCCAGGATCAATTTATCACCACCAGGGCATATAGAATATATTGACATATATTACAAGAAAACTTGGTAACGGAAAAACGTCGTCTTTGTTCTAAGACGTATGAGTCTATTGAACATGTAACCAGCGAATGGCATAATTTGGCTGGGACAGAATACTTGAAGAGAAACAATAATGTCGCCAAAATATAACACCGAAACGTAAGCAGACCTTTAGGCCTAATGGGCAATGAAACCCCCTACTATCGCTATACCATAAAAAGAAAAGTTATAGGCAGCAGTGTAAAAGTTTACTGGAATAAAAAAATAATAAGGGACCATAGAGTATTGCGAACATTTATACTATTGTTAATACACAACTTTTTTTAGCTCTTGAGGTTTACTATCGTCCCTTTAGCATATCTCAATCTAATTACTGGACAACCTTTATAATTATACTGATCTAACCAGATTGGGATGCTCAAAATGCATTCCACGATTTCGCCATAAAAAAAACTAAGGCGTGTGCTTTAGACCACACGATAGAAGTGAAAATATAACCAAGGCGCGATTCATAACTCACCTGGCCGGATTCGAACCAGCACATATACCCTTGAGTTTGATAAATCATTATCACATTCGGCTACCACGGCCTCGTTCTCAGTAGTTACTTACAAGTTATTTATTTATTTATTTATTTTTACATTCCGCATTTACCCGATCGGGTCATTAGCGGCTTTAGATGTAATCAAATTAGGTGTACTAATTTAATGTCTTTTATAAATTCAAATACTTTTTGTATCTTATCTTCGTCATCTGAAAGTGCTTGAGATATGTTGGAAGGTATATTATGTTTTGTTCTGGTGTCAGAGTATAGTCTGCAAGCTGTTACAATGTGTTTCAGTGTAAGTGATGTGTTGCATGTTTTACAAAATGGTGGTTCCAGGCCTCTCATTAGGTAGCCATGGGTAAAGGCTGCATGTCCAATTCTAAGCCGAGTTAAAATTGTTTCTTCTTTCCTGTTCTTTCTTAAAGAGGTCGTCCACGGTTTGGTATCTTTTTTGACAAGTTATTTCACTTTGTTTAAAACAAAATTAAAAACTATAAGAAACACAACATATACTTTTTTTATATCTCCTATATTAAATATCTTATAAATAAAAATATAATTGATTAAAATATCATTCAAGAATTAACATAATGTTTGTCATTCCATCGTTCGTATTATAATGAGAATTCCGAATGTAGAAGAATAAGATAAATTAGGTAAAATGTCGCGGACAGGGGCTTTCAGGTGATTGATTAGTGCGGCCAGGGAATCACGGTGGGAAAAAATCCCCATTCCTGATAAATTGTGCAAAGGAGGAGGGCAATCCCTCAACTTTGTGGGGAAAATGGGAAATTTCTTTCTTCCTTCCTGGATGGAGCATTCGTCTTGTCTTCCCGCTTAACACGTTTCCCCTCCTGTCTCCTCGCGTATGGTACCTCGACCAATCAGAGATGTCATCAAATACGCAATATATACAGAGTGATCCACGAGTAAAGAGAATATCCAAATAGCAAACGTAAAAAAAAAATATTGGTCCTTTTGGTTTATATTGGTCCGCTTTTTGTCGTATGTTTTTTAAGGTAAGTCACTTTTAAAAAATAAGAATTGATGAATAAAAAAATTATAATTCAAATTACTAAACATTACTACACAATAAACTAGAAAAAAATTTACTTTAAGTGAAGTTAAGTGAAAAAGAACTTGTCATTATTTAAACCAAAAATTCTACCAAGTAAGGTCAGTATAGCTTCCTCGCCGTTTTAATTGGATAAGCAATATCTATATTTTAAGGTTTATAATTTTGAGAACGAAATTTCCAGAAGAAGCCGTTTTAGGAAATATAATAATCTCACAACATCCGCGGGTTTGTTATCCAAACATTTTTTCCAACAACGAATATCGAAATGAGGAAGAGTTCCATATTTTGTTTATATTATTCCACATTATGATTATATAAAAGAATTCCAGTACATACTGAATATGCATCTCGTTACTGCTATTGAAAAAGGTCGTATGTAAATATTGGCTGTTTTAGGGAGAGTATAAAAACTAATTATTCCTTTATGATTAATTTGTGTAATTTCATATTTTATTTTCCTCTGTTTCATTACATAATAGCATACTATCTATATTAGTTGCGGACTACAAAATGCAATCTTTAGAAAGAATAGAATATAAATGACAAAATTTTATATACCATATTTTGTACGAACTGTAGCTTTATATATTTAATGTGGAATGTTTTCACTCATAAAATAGATACAGCAAAAAATCTATAGTAAAAAATTCAACTTTTTGTTTATTCGGAGTTACGGAGACTAATACTTTCCTTCAGTCAGAACAAAACTAATTAAGCTGAAATATAAAAACATGCGTGAAGTTTAAACAACTTTGATATATATGGAGGAAATCGAGACCACAACGAGATGGTTGAACTTCAATAGAAATAAACACAATCACAAACAAGAAAGAAGAAGAAAACAACAGAGTAAAAATTCATTTAAATTTACTGAAAATTAATTGAACTTTGAGTAACGGCAGAAAGTATCATACCAGCAACATTTGGAGTCGACCAAACAATACTTTATAAATTAACTTTTTGAATAAAACCTAAAATTTTATAACCCCATAAAAATATTATCTTAAACTAATTTTCACTTCATATGATCGATGCTCTCCACATCTCACAGCCTTTAAATTGTTAACAATTATTTATATTAACTTCAATTATTAAATGAAATTATTACAAAGTAATTTCTATACTATTTCAAA